ATTAGCGCATCAATGTTTTCACAGCCTACTTAACAGTTAAATCTACTAAGTACATTCTTGATTCAGAAGAAGAAATTGGTACCTTGGATAAATTTCATAGTTCAGGGTTTCCTCACTTCTCCTGTCTGAAAGAGACAAAAGTGAGAATAATTAATGAGTGGGATTAGTAGGACCCAAAATGACCATTTAAGGAAGAGTATCATCAGAAGCCACGTGTATCGGAAAAGAGCCGGTCACACATCAACTTCGTCGAATCTTTTCTGATTTTCCAATTACAAACTTCATTACTTTTGTCGTTTTTCGTTATTAAATAATCGATAATTTTCCCATCGTATTCATTGATATAGTGATTATCTGTTCGTTTTGGTTGATTTGTTTTTTTGGTCGAAATTTTGGTTGATTGAACGGGCATATTTTTCTTCTCGTTCTGTGCTCACTAGTAAGATTAACTGAACCAAACGTAACACATGGGGCTCAAAGAACTAAAACTAGAGAAGACTCCTAAAAGAAATAAAACAAGACTCTTACACCTTACTTCGTATTTTGATATATAACGAAGAGCATGCGCGATCAGAGACAAATAAAAAAAACGGAGATTTCTTGTTGATAAGAAATTTTGATGGGAGAACTGCATTTGAAGACATAATCAATGCAATAGAAGACTTTGACATAAGATATTACATCGGGAGTGGCGATTACGGTGGTAGTGTCTATAGAACGCGATTATAAAATGGGAATATTGTGGCATTGAAGAAACTTCACCGTCCTGATCCAAAGGACCCATCTTTTGATAAGAAGATGCGAAATGAAGTGAAACACTTGACGGAAGGCTGGAAAATTGGTCCCTGACCTTTCCCTTACAATGGGTTAGAAATTTTTTTTATTTTGATAACCGAGGTATCCCACGTGCAATGGACTATTCCTCGGGGTGGTGGGGTACAAGACCAATGCCACCGGGTAAGCCCCCAAGATGTGATCGGCGAGAGTTGAACTTGGGACCTCATCAGTTTTACTGTCTGAGGTCAGGAACTCTCAACCACTCGACCAATCACCCCATTGGTATGGGTTAGAAATTTTTGGGGCCAAGCATCACCAATAAAAGGGTCACAAAGACCATGACTTCCCATGAACCATTGAACATGGACTTATCCAAAAACCAACGCACATGAAACCCCAGAAGACCTATGACTTCTTGATGGATGGGTACAGGTTCCATGCATGCTTGCTGGTTTAAAATCTTTTTTCTTAGTATGGTATGCTGATTTAAATTCTAATCGAATCATAAACTGCCAAATTTAGAGATTGCGTGAGTAGAATAGAATATACTACTTGTCAGGAAATTTGTGCTACAACTCTAGAAAATCAATCACTTAAATTACATCGGCGATTTTCCTTACTTGAAAATCCATTGTGGCATTAATTTAATATTAAAACATTCGACGTGACTCATCGCAAAGTAAAGTCACGTAGGAATTTCAGCAAAAAAAAATTATCGATGTAACTTAAGTGATTTGCTTTTAAGACTTATGATAGTTAAATGATCGCATAAATAGCTATCGCATCAAAGTGAGTACTGTACAAAATTATGACATTATTAGTATCTTTATCCCCTCCAATTATATCAAGCAACCGAGGGTTGGAAGCCATGAAATTCAAGCGATGTCATGACAACTGGCTTGAGATTTTATCTGCAGCCATCGTTGATTTTATTTTGCATGACGTCCTACTGAACTTGAAATTAACTTCTATTAAGGTAGTTAGAGCAACTCATGGATATGAGCTAATTTTATTTACATTGAGCAATCAAACAAGTTACTAGCTCATGGGATACATGGATAATTGACTTGCTATCACAATCCTGAAAACCTTGACACATAGTCCAAAATAAAGTTATTAGCTTTTTTTTTTGTTTTAATGACAATACAAAGTAATCGGACTGTTTGACTTAAACAAATATCACAAATGCACATAATTCGCATGTTCATATATATCTTGTAAAGCTTTGGCCATAGGGTGACTAGCGAGATTTTTCTGAATGTGAGATAGTATGATAGAATCTATCGTTTATAAATTAAGCGTTTAATCACTTAACCAATAATTCGAATTTTTAAAACAAAATGATTCGTTTAAGATGAAAGTTATGACCGAATTATTTCGATCACAGAGTCGTTTTTCAAACAATCATTCTTGATATTAGATGTGAAGTCCATTAGGCCCCTCTATGGAGACAAACTAAAGTAACGCGTGTTTCACAACAACGAAGACTTCAAGTCGTCTCGAAGAACAAGACGAAATGCCGGAGAAAAAAGTAAACAAAATAGTGATTCTGGGATTCTCTGTGATCCATCCGAAGGAGGACAAGTTATAAGTCAATAACCCTTTTATATCCCACAAGTTATTTCTTTTTCTTTCTTTTTCTGGTCGGTCGCAAGTTATTTCTTTGGATCCGCCAGCGAGGGTCACCGGTGGCCCTCGTCAACCTTGAAAAAAAAAAAAGAAAAATAAGAAAGAAAAATAAAAATAAAAAGATAAAGAAAAATAAAAATTAAAAAAATCAATAAAATAACATTAAAAAAATTCACGTCGGGTGAAAAATTAAATAAAAAATCCACGTAAGCTCATTTGTTGGAAATGGCACTCAAGTGATCCATTTTTGCCGGAAGCGGCACTCAAATAATTTATTTTACTCCGATGTGGCACTCAAGTGAGCCAAAAGAAAGTTATGGCACTCAAGTGAGCGCCGTACAAAAGTTATGGCACTCCTAATGTCCTTATCCCGAGAATAATTTATCTGACAGTCATTTATTTTTTGTCAATGCATAATAAGTGGTGTTGCGTTGTTGTGGCCACGAAAATTTGGCAACATAAGGATACTCACTACGTGTTTTTCGGGATCATTTCTGTTTTGTTGAAGGCTTGCTAGTCAATTAAAGGCGGCAAATTGATCAACGTTTCCTTTTCGATGGCCAAGGATCCGACATCACGAAAACAACAAAAGACCACGACGATTATTCTAGACGAACCGTGTCTCTTGGTCCGGCAATCAATACATGTCCAAAGACCTTGACTTGTTGACTTTTGAGGAGCGTACTCGACAAAGACCTTGACTTCTGGAATTTGTGCAACTTCCCTGTGTAAGCTGGTTCAACTTCTAATTGAATCATCATTAGTTAACCGTGAAGCTCACGATGGAGGGCCTGCCACTTCGAAATCATGATGTTGCGGAATCAGAGTTAATCCATTATAAAGAAACAATCAACCGTATAAATTAACTTATGTCTTGAAGTTTTTAATAATGAACGCAGCCTTTAAATTTAATCAGAATGGATGAACACAAGGACACAGAGACATGGAAACCCATCGACATAAAACCCAGAAAGTAAATAAAAGAACCTTAAAGTCATAAAATCATTCTTTTTTCCGCCTTAAAATCTCGTATGCCGCATTTTCTGTATATCTCAAGCACACTTCCAATGAAAGAGAGTTCATGATGCTATTCATAAATTACGATTCTCCCCAAATGATCGTTATCGGGGTTCAACCCACATGGAACGTGATCCAAAATTCTTCCGAAGATATCTAACATCTTATTCAACAAAGCTCTTATACGAAGGCTCCATTTGTCTTGTTGAAAATATTTTTCGGAAAAACATTTTTCTTATTTTCTAGCCATTAAATCGCTTAGGAAAATGAGTCAACGAAAAATGTTCTCATAATCAACGGAAAATGTTTTCCTATCAAAACTTAAATTCAGGAAAATGATTTCCTTTTTAAAAATCGGAAATAATTTTTCAAAATGTGATTAGGTATTGGTGCTTGGACCAGAAACGCTGCACTTGGGCCCGAGAACCCCAATGCTCGTTCTCGGGTCCTTGGCAGCGGGGCTAGGTCTCGACGCTATGGCTCGAGTCCATATAGGTTGTGCCAAGGTTCATCGAGGCCGAGGTCAGGACACTGATGCCCATTCCCGGGACACCAGGCCCGGTAATATCAAGGTCAAGCTTGGGTCCTTGATGCCCGTGCCTGGGTCCATCGAGGCCAAAATTTTTTTTATAAAAATTTCCTTACCGAATAATGGAAAATATTTTCCAATTCATTTTCAGATCTCAGCCATATTATTATTTTTTTGAAAAATGATTTTTTGAATAATATTTTTCAGAAACGTTACATTTTTCGCGAAATAAACGGAGCCAAAACCCCATTCTAACTTCGTTCAACCCAACTAAAGCCCCAAACAGCTGCTCTCTCTCTCTCTCTCTCTCATTCTTTAATTCATGTCTCAGTCGAGTTAAGAGCAGCGGCCTCACGGTAGCGGCGGCAGTGGTGTGACTGCGACGGTGGCACAGTGGCGGGCAGAGAGAGAGAGAGGGAGAGAGAGACATTTTTTACCCGATTTATCTTATGCAAATTGCCACCTGGGAATATTGCCTCATGGTGCATTTTTAAGTGGAGACCTGCCTAAAAGGGCAGAAAATCGTCTACTGCCAATGCTGTTATAATTATATTTTCTACATTTGCTTAGAGAAGGCAGTAGATGTACCGACATGCTTTTGGAATGTGTGCTTGGGTACTATGGGATTTAGCGCGTTTTATCTACTAAAAAAAGAGTCCCCTCATTTTTTCATAGTTCGTTAAATCTTGTCACAAAAAAATAAAGATAAAATTGAATTTGGCAGGGAAAAATTCTATTGTTCTACATAAAAAAATAAGACTTTCTTTTTCCGAGTAGGTAAATTTCAATAAGTATTGTAGGTATAGAAAAAGATGTTGATAAACGACTTTTTTCAAGTAACTTGTTGGTAATATTTAAAAAGAATTGGTAAAACCTGGCGAAATAATGTTGGACATGTTAGTTTTGGTTTGCGGGGGTGCTGAAACTTGGATTGGTTCGCAGACTAATTCAACTTTGTAGTGATTAGTGTCCGTTTTACAGCCCTACGAGATGATGGCAACTCCATCATCTCTAAACAAAAAGGAAGGAAAAAGTCCGACAGAGTTTATTCTTTTTTGAGTCTAAGAGAGTTACGGTTGAACGTAAGTGTGTCGAGCCATTAAAAAGATGAACGCGTGAACCGTACAAATCGCGTTTCCTCTGACGCGTCAGCACAGTAGTGTCTTCTTGCTTTACTTTATATAAGTGCAGTATAACACGTTACTGAACAAGACCCTGTTTCTCCGACTACAGCGAAAGAAGAGGTCACCCCATGATGAGCATAGTCTGCAACTTGTCCTTAGTTAGTATACTGATTACCACTATAGCTTTCTCCTGCTACAATCCAATTCTTGCAGCAGCAGCGCCTTCTAGTGAGTCAGAGGCAAGTGCGCTTCTCCACAGCGGGTGGTGGCCTATCTCCGTCACCGGCGACACTCCCTTACCTCTTTGCGCCTGGCCCGGGGTATCGTGCGACGCCTCTGGGAGGGTCAAGGAGATTCGCTTGCCAACTGAGTACCAAATAGGAGGTAATTTCAGCAACATGAACTTCTCTCTCCTTCCGAGCCTCACTTCTCTTGAACTCATTTACAGCGGACTGGCTGGCAAAATCCCCCTTCAGATATGTACTCTGTCGAGGCTAACTCACCTTGACTTGTCCTACAATTCTCTCACCGGCGAGTTGCCTCCTTGTGTCCAAAACCTCACCAGGCTTCAATTTCTTGATATCAGTTATAATCAAATCAGCGGCGCAATCCCTCCGACTGTTGGTTGCTTGCACAATTTACGATCCCTCAGATTTGGCTCAAACGAATTTGGTGGCTCTATTCCTCTAGAACTTGGGAACCTCACAAACATAGGTGATGTCGATTTAAGTTGCAACAACTTCACTGGTCCCATTCCATCGACTATAGGGAATTTGACGAGCTTGACCCAGCTCTATTTGCAAAAAAACAAACTCATTGGATCTATTCCTCCAAAAATAGGAAATTTGACGAGCTTGATTTCTCTTTATTTGCAAGAAAACAAACTCAATGGTTCCATTCCGTTGGAAATAGGCAATTTAGTGAGCTTGTTCGAGCTGAATTTACAGAAAAATATATTTGACGGTGCCATCCCATCGGAAATAGGAGACATGAAGAATCTCGTATATCTAGATTTGAGCTCAAACAACTTGGTTGGGAAAATCCCTATTGAACTTGAGAATTTGAGGCATTTAATCCATCTCGATCTTCACAACAATTCTCTTTCTGGCTCAATTCCCAAATTTCAAAGCACACCATTTTTTTATCACCTTAACTTATCATACAATCATCTCAAGGGCCCAATTCCAGATAATCTCAGGGCTTATATTCCTGATAACGCTTTTCTCGGTAACGAAGATTTGAACCAGTTCGACGAAACCCAAGCCCACAGAAGAAGGTCTAGCGTAATTCATTACAAGATGATGTTCATTCCACCGGCTGCAATATTCATTTCCTGTATAGTCGTTGGATCTTGCTTCCTGTTTGGACGTGCAACAGAAAAGGTGCAACCAGAGGCTACAGAGAAAAATGGAAATTTCTTGTCAATATGGAATTATGACGGGAGGATTGCATATGAAGACATAATTAATGCAACTGACGACTTCGACATCAAATATTGCATCGGGACTGGCGGTTATGGTAGCGTCTATAGAGCGCGATTGCCCAATGGGAAAGTCGTGGCATTAAAGAAACTTCACCGTCTTGAAGCAGAGGACCCGTCCTTTGACAAGAGCTTTCGAAATGAAGTGAAACATTTGACAGAAGTAAGGCATAGAAGCATCATCAAGCTCCATGGTTTCTGTTTACACAGGCGATGCATGTTCTTGGTTTTTGAATACATGGAAAGGGGGAGTCTGTTCTGTGCTTTGAGAGATGATGTTGAAGCGGTGGAATTGGATTGGTCCAAAAGACTTGATCTCGTCCGTGATACGGCACATGCTTTGTCTTACATGCATCACGATTGCGCTCAGCCAATTGTTCATCGAGACATATCTAGCAACAACATCTTACTGAACAGCAAAATGCAGGCTTTTGTATCAGATTTTGGCATCGCAAGGCTTTTGGATCCTGATTCCTCTTCTAACTTCACCGCAAATATCGCTGGCACCTATGGATATATTGCACCAGGTGAGCAATACTTCGTGCCTCATAAGTTTTTCTCTTTAATCCTGAAAGTTACTAGTAGAGGCACAAGTCCGATAAGTAAATATTTGTAGGAATAGTCAAGATTTTTTCGATGTTGTATTACATCTATATCGGTGTTACTAAATCATTCATTTCTATTCAACGTTTTATTGTGGAAATTAAATTAATTATTTTTAAAGAAAATTGGAGGGGCAAATGGAGCGGGGTGGGGTGCTGCACATAGTTATGTGGGGTGAGGACGAGGAGGGAAAAGTTGCTCCTCCCGGGCAGCGACGGGGTAGGGAGTAAGGGTGCAACCATCCTTTTCGAAGCCTCAATCGCCAAAATTTTTATGTCTTTTGTGTTCTTTTTTCCAGAACTCGCGTATACTTTGGTTGTTAATGAGAAATGCGACGTATATAGCTTTGGAGTAGTAGCGATGGAAACAATGATGGGTGAGCATCCTGGAGATATTGTATCTACATTTTGGACATCCTTTGGAGAAGATATCATGCTACATAAAATCTTAGACCCGCGGTTGCCTTATCCAAGGAAGAACTCCGTCGCAAGAAGTATTGTTCTGATAGTTTCTCTGGCGCTTGCTTGCTTGAGTGCTAATCCAAAGTCTCGACCAACTATGAAGCGAGTCTCGGAAGCTTTTCTAGCTCGAAAGTTACTATTGGCGAAGCCCTTCCATGAGATCTCATTGGCTCAGATCCGAGATAACAACAGATTATGGTTGGAAGGTGGATCAACAGAAGCTTCGTCAGGACTAAGCGATGAGCAAGGGTTATTAAGTGCTTGTCCAGTAAAGAGTTAGATTGATAAAATGATGCTACAGTTTGGTGTAAGTTATATAGAAGTGTATGGCTTCTGCACATTATTAAGTCATGTAAAACTTTTTACCATACTATGTATAGGAGTGAGAAGCTGTTTATATAGGACATCCGTTTATTTTTCTTCTTTTCAGTAAGATTGAAATGCATGATCAATAAACAATGTATCAAGAAATAACAGGAAAAAGTGCCAAAAAAGTCCTAAACCTTTTGCATTAGTACCAATTTAGTCCTAAACCTTTTTTTAGTGCCAATTCAGTCCTAAACCTTTTGCATTGGTGCCAATTTAGTCCTAAACCTTTTTTTGGTGCCAATTAAGTCCTAAACCTTTAAATTGGTGCCAATTCAGTCATAAACCTTTTGTTTTTATGCCAATTTAGTCCTTCCGGTCAATTTTGACCGGAATTTGCCGACGTGGACGCCTGCCGGTCACCGGCGCCGACGTGGCGTTGACGTGGACAATTTTAATATTTTTTTTTATTTTTTTTTCCTTTTTTTTCTTTTTTTTCACTTTTTTTTTTGGTCTCCCCTCCTTCCTCTGGCCGGTCTCCGGTCCGGCGACCGGCCAGAGGCCAGCGAGCTCGACCTCGCCGGCCACTGGCGAGGGCGGCGGCCTCGCCCGGCGAGGGCGAGCCTCGCCTTGGTCGGGCGAGGCTCGACCTTGCCAGATCCGACGAGGTCGGGCCTCGCCGCGGCCTCCGGCGAGGGTTTGAGCCTCGCCCGACCAAGGTGAGGCTCGAGCCCTCGCCGGAGGCCGCGGCGAGGCGAGCCTCGCCATGGTCGGGCGAGGCCCGACCTCGCCGGATCGGCGAGGTCGCCGGGCGAGGCTCGACCTTGCCGGATCCGGCGAGATCGGGCCTCGCTCGACCATGGCGAGGCTCGCCCTCGCCACGGCCTCCAGTGAGGGTTCGAGCCTCGCCCGACCAAGGCGAGGCTAGCCTTCGCCGGGTGAGGCTAGACTTCGCCGGGCGAGGCCACCGCCCTCGTCAGTGGCCGGCGAGGTTGAGCTCGCCGCCCTCGTCAGTGGCCGGCGAGGTCGAGCTCGCCGGCCTCTGGCCTCTGGCCGGTCGCCGGACTGGCGACCGGCCAGAGGAAAGAGGGGGGGACAAAAAAAAGTGGAAAAAAAAGGGAAAAAAATAAAAATTCAAAAAAATATTAAAATATTATTAAAATTGTCCACGTCAGCGCCATGTCGGCGCCGGTGACCGGCCGCCGGCCGGGAGGCGTCCACGTCAGCAAATTCCTGTTAAAATTGACCGGAAGGACTAAATTGGCACAAAAATAAAAGGTTTAGTACTGAATTGGCACCAATTTAAAAGGTTTAAGACTTAATTGGCACCAATGCAAAAGGTTTAGGACTGAATTGACACCAAAAAAAGGTTTAGGACTAAATTGGCACTAATGCAAAAGGTTTAGCACTTTTTTGGCACTTTTCCGAGAAATAACGAGACCCACACTAGTCCCAATATAAAACATAAGTACCCATACACAATTTCTACAACGTAATTGATTCTATTAAGATAAAGTCGTAGAAAAAGTCCATATAATATTATGTTTCGTTCCATAAAAGATGGGTATAGCTCGTTTTTTCAAGGCCAAACACCAGCGAGAAGTCCATGAAGACCATCACTTCTTACGAACCATGTAACGCGTAGTGGTCCACAAAATCAACATATGAAACCCCAAAAGGCCCGCTACATGTTGTAGTTCTCATGGTCCCAAAATCAACAAATTAAACCACAAAGACCTTGACTTCTGGTGACACTCCAATTGCATACTCTCCACATAAGACCTTGACTTCGTGACAAATGGGTACAAGTGCCATGCAGAAAATTCGTTCTGGTTTAAGTTCTGATTGAATCGTTGAAATTTATAGATTTTAGAACGGGCAGTATAATCTCTCGATGGAGGGGCCGAAACTTCTTTAGGGTGTGCAGATTCTTAGAACGCTTCAGCTTAGGCACTCACTCCTTTGTATTATACTTCGCTTGTGAATCAGTTAATCCTATTGCAGATCCAATTTTTCTCCTACAATTTTTTGAAATTGAAATTAATCCTAGCCCAACTGAGGAAGATTTTCAAGGCATGTTAAATAGTCCGATACCGAAGCCCATTTTAGCAAGCCCATATTCTAAGCTGTTCTTTATATTACTTCGTCCAACCCAAGAAAGCCTCTATTTCAGTCCATTGTAAGAAATCCCACTTTAAGTGAGTAAACCACGAATCCATGAAATATCCACAAATTTCGTAGTCCAGTTAAGACATGAGTGAAAATCAGCATAGGCGGTCTCAACAGGGAATTGTTTTCATTTTTGTGGGTGTGGGGAATCGAACCTATATCGTAGGGCCAACCCGTACATACAAATTCGTTCCTTTAACCACATAGCTAATCTTGGGTTTTAGTTTCTGCAAGTGATTCCCTCTTTAAAGACCGTTGTTATTAGGAAAGCTTGTAAAATGTCTATATGAAGGAAAACAAATTAAGTCGATCTTATTCTCCGGAAATAGGGACTCTGAAGAACTTGAGAATCCTCTATTTGCAAGTAAACAAACTGAATGGATCCATTCCATTGGAAACGGGCAATTTGGAGAACTTAACCGATGTGAGCTTAAATTCAAATTCCCTCTCTTGCCTCCTCCAGTCACGTCTGGGAAATGTAGCAAGCTTGATCGTTCTGAATTTACGGAAAGATAGAATGACTGTGCCATCCCATTTCGAAATTGGAGATGCTCGCTTTTCTAGATTTGAGCTTGAACAACTTCAAAGGAAGAATCCCCATTGAATTTAAGAGTTTGGTCAGGGCAAGCCATCTCGACCCTCACAATAATTCTCTTTCGGGCTCAATTCTCTCATTTAAAGAGCTTTCGTACTTAGATCGCCTCTACTTATCATACAATCATCTCAATAGTGGGTGAGCATTCTGGTGAGATTATCTTAATGCCGTCGACACTCTTCATAGAAGATATTATGCTACATCAAATATTAGACTCGAGCTTTTCAATCCCAAGAGTGAATTATGTCCAAAGAAGTATTGTTCTGGTTCTCTAGCGCTTGCTTGCTTAAGCAGTGATCCAAAGTCATGACCCATAATGAAACAAGTTTTGGAAGCTTTTCTGGCCCCAAAGCTAGCGGTGGCCAAGCCTTTCCATTCAATCTCACTTGCGCAGTTCCAAAAAAAAATAAAATTAAGGAGCATGGTGGGTGAGGTGGATCAACAGAAATCTCGTTAAGCCTACAACAAGAGCAAGGGCCACGAAGTACTTGTCCCAATGCAAATAAATAAAGTCCAACAAGTGAAGAGTTGATTGACAAAATGATGCTGCAAATTGGTGAACGTGGTAGAGTATTTGAAGTATACGGCTTGTGCGATTCGAGTCAAGTCAAACTTCTGTTATACTAGCTTGGCTAAAAGTCAGCGAAGTAGCGAGTTAAAAGCAGTTATCAGACAGTCTATTTATTTTTGGAATCCTAAACATATTGAATTTATGTCAATTTAGCCCTAAACATTTTAATTTTGCCAGATTAATCCTAAACCTTTTGGCATAGTATCAATTCAGTCATTCCAGCTAATTTTAGTTAGATATTACTTACGTGGACGCCAGCTGGCTTTCGTGGCACAAGCGGCGCTGACATGGACAATTTTAAATAATATTTTAATATTTTTCGATTTCTTTATTATTTTTTCTGATTGTTTTTCTTTTTTTCTTTCTTTTTCTTCATTTCTTCTTCTTTTGCCAGTAATTGGCCATTAGACACCGGCCATGGCCGAGTAGGCTGGCATCACTTGGGCAAGAGTCGTCGTCGCCTACCACAGCAAGGCCTGGCTGGGCAAGGGCGAGCCTCGACAAGGGTTCTGCTCACCAAATCTAGTGAGGCCGCCCTAGCTTGGGCGAGGGCAAGCCTCACCCGATCTAGCAAAGGGAGCCTTCACAAGGGCTTGCCCAGGCTGGGCCTCACCTATGGCTGGCGACGGTGACCCTAGCCTTAGTGAGACCAGGCCCACCCGGCCATGGCCAGTGGCTGGCCACCGGCAAAAGGATGAAGAAAGAAAAAGAAAAGAAAGAAAAAAATCGAAAAATATTAAAATATTATTAAAAATTATCCACGTTAGCACCGATCGTGCCACGTAAGCAGGCCATCGTTCACGTCAATAATATCCGATCAAAATTAGTCTGAAGGACTGAATTGGCACTATGTCAAAAGGTTTAGGACTAAAGTGACACAATTAAAAGATTTAGGACTAAATTGGCATCACTGCAATAGGTTTAAGATTTTTCTAACACTTTTCCTGTTTATCTTTTGTCTTTTTAGTTATATGGGAATGCATGATGATTGATAATGCGTTGTTCTTGCCATGAATGTTTGGCGTGTTAAGGACATTCACTATGTATTTGCCATGGTGTCCAGCACGAGCCCCAAATCTGTGCATTATGAAGACTTAGGCACCTTCACTTGTCCTGCAATTCTATCGCCAGTGTGCTGCCTCCCTCTCGGGAGAACCTTACCAGGCTTCGTGTTCTTGACATTTATCATAAAATCTTAGATTCAATGCACTTAGCAATCCCCTAGACGCACGGTTGCTTGTACAATATGTAATAGCTCAACTTCACCTCAAACAAATTGGGCAGCTCCAAACCCTCACATCGAATCATGTTGGTTTAAGCCGCAACAACTTCACCGGTCTCATTCTGTCATTTATAAGGAATTTGACGAGCTGGAAATATCTGTATATGCAAGAGAATGAAATTCAGTGGATCTTATCCTCCAGAAATTGGGAACTTGACGAGCTTGACTTAACTCTAATTGCAAGAAAACTAACTTGATGGATCCACTCCGTCGGAATTAGGCAATTTGGAGAACTTGATTGATACAAGCCTAAATCCGAAATTAGATCAACCGTGCCATCCCATCGGAAACGGGAGATATAAGGAATATCAAACTGCCAAATTTGAGCTCGAACAACTTCGTCCGGAAATTCAATGTTTGAGAGTGTCCTGTTTTTTCGGAACTTAAATCCAAAGTTTATT